GACGTTTCAAACGACGGACTGTAGTTATGAATGCAGACTGGACCGAGGACAGGTCATGGACTGGTCCTCGGACAGACTGATAGACACAATAGACACGGTGGACAGTTGGGGACTGCACAAGGACAGCCACGGACAGTTGGGGACTGCACAAGGACAGCCACGGATAGTTGGGGACTGCACAAGGACAGCCACGGACATATGCGGACCATTCCACGGACTGTCCATCGGCTCATCAGGGATACCAAAACGCGCAAATTTAATTAATTTTAGGGGTACTTAGGTCAAAATGGACGTCCAAAGGGGGAGGGGGGGGTCATCGAAAACAGACGTGCGTGGACAAGGGGGAGGGGGGAGGGTCAATTTGGGGTCAAAAACCGCGGACGTACTTAATGGATGCCCCCTAACAAATCCCTTTTTTTTCTATTTTAGGCTGCGCTGAATATGGCAGCTCGTTCAACAGCATTTGAACTTGGACCTGAGAATATTGTGGTGTTAAGTGTGAATCCAGGATGGGTTCAGACAGACATGGGGACAAGGGCTGCAGATCTCAAGGTGGAAGATAGTGTGCGGAGCATGCTGAATTTGTTTTATAATCTCAAACCTGAAAACCACAACACATTTGTTCAGTGGGAGGGTAAGACTCTGCCTTGGTAATGGTAATACAAGGGCGTTTGTAATATCTGAGATAAACCTGTAAATTGTATTTCACAAACCAGTTCACAATGTTGAAACGTCATTTTCAAGTAAAGTATAATTGAAATATTTTCTCACCAATTTTGCTTTTGTCGTAATGAAATGAGCAGTCGCTAGATGTCTAGACCTAGACAATGAAGTGAAAAGATGATGATGTTATTTTCCTATTTTTTGTTACTTTGGCGTGTTTGTTTTCTGAGCCTGCTTGGCAAAATGTCTCGCTCTAATAGGGAGTCCTGCGCTGTTTGTCGTCGACACGATAATAATTAAACAATTAGGTTTCGTCCTGGACGGTCGTCGCCTTGTGCGTGGCCTGCAGGAGACGGTGGGCGGCGGTCCGGCACGCGCGGCGCGGGAACCCTCCATCTGATAAAGGAGCGCCTTGCCGCGGCGGCGACAGCCTCGGCGACAGCAGGTCGGACAGGACTGGACGGGCCACTCATCTTTCGCCGGCAACGCAAACATCTCACATTCTGCACGCTGCGTTTTATCCACCGCGCTGTCCGGTGGTACACCTCTGCCCGTGGCCGGTGCGGCGGCAACCACGCTCTGCTGCGAATAAAGGAAATGAGGGGTACTCCAGAAAGTACCTCCATCATTCGCCGTTAGAAATCTGCCAAGTTCCGCGTCTGCACGCTCTCATGGCGCCTGATAGGTAGGCCGCAGCTGCCCCTACAGCGCATGCATGTAGTGCGGGGTGGCCTACCCCGAGTCCCGCAGGCGCCGAGCTCCCAGCATTTACCAAATGAATCAGAGAAAAACGGACGTACTCCCTGAAGAAGAGAGAGGGGGCCGAATAACGACTCCAGTAGCAATAGGAAAAGGCGCGCGCCAAGCCAAAGACAGGCAGGCATCATTAGTTCCCACCGCTGCGGTGTAGTAAATCGAAATAAGGCTAAAGCAGCGGGGGGAGGACGGGGTGGGGTGG